GAAAGGAAGAGATGGCGTCCAGCGGCGGTTTTTAACTGACAACAGGAAGGCGAATCGGCAGGCCATGATTACTTATTTGTGGAGATCGTGCCCAAGTGTCGTGCGGAACCCAAGGAACGGCCCGGATCCCCGCTGGAGCGTCCACGTGGACTTTGCAAACTCCCCACTCCTCCGCTTGGCCCAGCTGAGGACTGAGGAGTTGGGGGGCTTATGATGGGCCGATATCCAGAGGACGGCCCAAATGAACCATTTAAACAGCTTCGGGTCAAGCACCTGTGGAATACTCAAGCTGGGCCGGCCCAAGGGGCTGGGCCTAGTTAACCCCAGGCCAAGCGCAGCTGGCAGAGTCAGTCCGGAGAAGGAGACGGAGCTGATTGGCCGTTACAGAGCCGGAAAAAGGGGATCGCGCCCTTGGACGGGCTAAACTCCATCGGTTACGCTTCACCTTAATTGTTGAGAGCTCGTGTATAAATAAAAGGGACCCGAAAGGGGAGAACTCAAGCTAAATCAAGCTAGTAATACACATCCAATTCTCGAATTCTTGTTCTTAATTTTGTTCTTGCGATCCGCTCTGTAAATCGGATCATTTGGTGGATTTATTGTCCATCAAAGGGCAATAATTAGGCTTACTAAAACGTGAGAAAGACGATGAAGAGAATATGTTGAGGTGAATTTAGTATATTAGAGTGGAAAAAATACATGTCTGCATTTTAACCGTTCACTTAATGCAAAAATGACACATCTAAGTAACACTAATGATCACTACCAAATAAAAGAGAAATATGGGAGTAATGATGTGAATAAACAAATTTGGGAGTATTTATGTAAAATCTGTAATTTCTGGGAGTATTCTTGTCAATTTTGCCTATTTTCTTTCAGTTTTTTAAACTTTTCTTTCAATTTTTTTACGGAGTATAACTTTTTTTTAGTTTTTTCCAACAACCTAAAAAAATATTTACATATCATCCAGGTAGAATAACATCATATATCTAAATTTATATCATATCACCTCAAACACGAACACGGACGAATTCTATTTTATCCAAAATTTTCAATAGATATCGTACAATCGGTTCTACGATGTTTTCCGTACATCTGCACCAAATACTCATTTACGAGTAGTCGACATTCTACAGCATAAACATTTTCTAGAGAAAAACAAAATTCTATAATAAAGGGGATCAACTGTGTGGCACATAACAAGAAAATGAGACAACTACACAAGATATCAATGCTTCAAAAAGTATTCTGTAACATCTATCAGTCATATTGACAAGTTTAAGAGTTGAACAACGAAACCAATTTAGAGAGTGTTTGGCAGTGCGCTGCTTTTAACAATTTAGCTTCTGTTTTGAGTGGAAGTGATTTTACTTTGTTTGGCATGTCAGCTTCTGCTTTTCACTAACATTATTTTGTACACGGAACACCGTTTCGGAGAAGCAAGTATGAGGTGCTTTTGCTTTCAGCTTTTGTAGAAATCACTTTATCCATAAGCTAATCACTCCCAAACACCCTCTTAATACCCCGAGTACCATTAAATAACAAAAAAAATAAAATAGCACATTTCACTTTTTTTTTACAATTTAGCCACCTATATTGAATCAGGAAATGATAAACAAAGCAAAACCCTACAGAAGGAATTATACTTTGGATTAGTTTGAAAACTGGAGTGATAACAAAGCAAAACCCTACAGAAGGAATGATCCCAAAAAACCCATCATCACAACTCCAACGACAAACGCTGCCGAAAGAGAAGGCCCCTTCAGGGAGAGGGAGGCGTTAGACTTGTTGGTGTCGGAGTGGTTTGAGTGGAGGGGCGGCGGGGCAAGGGCAAGAGGGTGGACAAGAACCGACACCTTCATGCCGTTAAAGCATGGACCATTGCCACATATGAAGTAATACCTCTTAGCCTTGTCAAGGAGAATAAAGTCTTTTCCACTGCTCCAGTTCCCAATGGCGCCTTCCGTGGTGCAGTTGTCGTATCCGGTCTGGTTCACTTCAAACACATTGTACTGCGTCTTCTGGTACCTAAACGCTGCCAAAATGAAGATCAAGTTCCCTCAGCAAAAGGGTAATATGATTATTTGCTCATCTTTAATTTGGACATTATTTTTAAAATTTGGACATCTTTTGCAAGATGGTATTTTTAGAAGATCTCATTGTCGAATAACAGATAACAGATAATAATGATCAAGAGCTTGGACTAACAAATTTGGTTAGTCATTAACAGTATTTTTATTTAATAAGTACTCCCTTTGCCAGAGTAAATTCACTCTAGTTTTCTATTTGTTCAAAAATAAACATGACACTTTTCATTTCCTTTCAAGAAAATGAATATGTGATTCACCACTTTTCATTTCATTTCCTTTTACAAACTTAGTTTTACACTTCCCTTCTCAATCCATCAAAAAATGAACTTTAAACTTCTATTATATACATAAGGATTTATTTTTTTTGTGATTAACACAGTTTTTCTCTATTACTCCTTACACTCAAAATCCTTATCACAGAATTTTCAATACAAACACCTTTTTCAAACATTTAAACGTCAAACTAATTAAGGCTTTAACTAATGGACGGAGGCAATAAAATAGTAATACCAAAATATTGTTTTGAGTAAATTCCCAAAACAGTCCTTTGTAATAAGGTGTTTCTCTAAATTAGTCCTCAATAAGCAATAATTACCATAAGATCCTCTGTGATTGAGATGTATTCCCTAAATAGTCCTTTGTCAAAAATGTTATTTAATGGCAATTAAATGAAGGGTATTTTAGCATTTTTCATCATCTATGTTGGAATGCATGAGTTCAACCCTTTGAGTGTTGTTTAGTGTTTACTCACAGGTTTTGATAATTGACAAACACAATTTATTCAAGACAAGATCAAAGTGCTACAACAACAAACACGAAGACTTGAAGTGCCATTCCTTGAAGTATTCAAGAAGGTGCACATGATTTTATTGAAGTCCGAGACGCGTTCGGAGCGCCTAACGGAGGACTCGGAGGTGTAGAAGATTTCCGAAGACTTTTTATTTATTTGAGTCGTAGGAATAATTGTAAGGATGACAAAATTAATCTTCTCTACAAAATTATTTTTATGAGAGTTAAAATAAAAATTATATTTATTTTTGAAGTCAGTTGAAAAATCCTTTTAACTGTTCAAAATACATTTATTGAGTCAGTTACAAAAACTATGTCAAGCATTTATCAAATATTTATTTTGATATTATAAAATATTTTTGGTAAGCAAAAATATTTTATTCAAATATTTTTCGTGTACATCGTTTGACACACAAAATAATTTTTGGACTCACTTTTACCCCCTTATTCAAATTCATTGAATAAGAGAGGAGGAGGGCTCTCTGATTCCCGTTGTCTCAAACAACGAGTGTTATGCCAATTCTGCTCTCAATCGCAACTGGCTTGGGCCCTTTGTGTTTTGCGCATTATTTCTTCTTTTAATCGATTATACTTCTTTGTTTAATAAATTAGCCTTCTATTATTGTTCAGCGCATTCAGTTAATCGATTTTCCTCTTTGCTTTAATCAATTAGTCTACTCAGAGCCTTCTAATCGATTAACCCCTTTGCGTTAATCGATTATTTCCGCGTAGAAGGAATTTTGCTCAGACTGCATTAATCGATTATTGGCTCTGCATTAATCGATTTTTATGTTGCATCTTTTCAGCACAACTTCTTTTCTTGGACCAACAGATATATTTCTTCAACTCCTATTTAAACACACTTCCTTGGCCATTTTTGAGAACAAGAAACACTCCAATACTCCCCATTCTTGAGGTGTTAATCCTCCATCAATCTTCCCCCAAATTCAAATTATTTTGAGAGAAAATTATATTTGTTTTCAAGAGAGGTTTCTTGTCATCCATTAGAGCTAAACATTTTCTCATTCCTACTCTTTTAAGAGCTTTTGTTGAGAGGTTGAAGAAGAGTGTTGTTCTTGGTGTACAAGACTTATGTGACTTAAGTCTTGGGTGTAAAGTCTTGTAGAGGGCATATCTACGAGCGGTTGTGTCGAGGCTTGTGGGATTCAAGTCCTTGAGTTGTAAACGGTTTGTTAAGCACCCGTAAGCTTAACGGAAGTAGTGGTAGCTTCGAGGGAGTCTCTCGAGGAACTGGACTAGCCACGAGGTGGTGAACCAGTATACATCGGTGTGTTCTTTGCCTTCTCTCTTTTATTTCCGCTGCACTAACGTTTATATTATTAATCCTGCGAAAATCGGTAATCATTCTCAACAACTCTATTCACCCCCCCTCGAGAGTTGCACGCCTTGTCTAACAATTGGTATTGGAGCGGGTATCTCTAACGCTCCTTGTGACGTTTGAGAAAACGATCAAATTTGTTTTGAGAATGTTGAACGCAGGGATAGGAGAAGGGCAATCCACCGTAAGGCCGCCATTTTTTGATGGAACGAATTACTCCTATTGGAAGGAGCGTATGAGAATTTTTGTTCAATCTAATAACTTCAAAATTTGGCTTGCTATCAAGAATGGAGATAGCTTGCCAATGAAGAAGATAGGCGATACACTCATCCCGAAGGACGAGGATGAATATGATGAAGCCGACTTTAAGAAGGCTCAATTAAATGTCACCGCCATCAACTTCTTGTATTGTGCTGTCAACGCCAACGATTATCAAAAGATATCTCGTTGCCAAACCGCCAACCAAATGTGGAACAAGCTCATGATCACATACGAAGGTACGCCTCAAGTTCGTGAATCAAAAATTGATTTACTAACCCATGAATATGAGTTATTTTCTAAGAAAGAGAACGAACTTGTGGAGGACATGTTTGGAAGATTTTCAAACATCGTCAACGACCTTGATATGCTTGGAAAGGCGCTCACCGACAAAGAGTTAGTGAGAAAAATTCTGCGAAGTCTTACCAAGGAATGGGAGTCGAAGGTTAACTCCATTTACGAAGGCCGAGATTACAACGTCATCACATACGACGGTCTTCGAGGTAACCTTATCACTTACGAAACAAATCATCTTTCTCATACTCTTGACGTTAAGAAGGGAACGGGAATTACTTTTAAAGCATCTTTCTTCTCAAAAAGTAGAGATTGGTGATTCGGATTCGGATAGTGATAGTGATAGTGATTCTAGCACTTTGTGTGATATTTTGGTTGAATGTTTTAACGAGTTTTTGAAACATGAGCTAAACAAGAGCAAGAAGAAAAACACCCCAAAATGTCACAAATGTGGAAAGCTTGGCCACCGAAAATTTGAGTGCCCGAAGCTCAAGAAGATGAGCAAACAAGATGAATTCGTGTATTTTTCGTGGAAGTATGATGAACCTTCCAAAGACGATTGCCTCATCGCTCTTGAAGAACAAGATGGGTGGTCGGGTACATGACGCACATGGAAGGTGTGCTTGAAGACTACAAATTTGTAGTGGATGCTCCAAGCACTTAACTAAAGAGATTGCATCAAAAGGAAGTTATTACATTTTTTATTGAATTTATATGAATTTATTTGGGGAATATACATAGGATGTTTTGCATATAGTAAAGGGGAATTTTTTTTGCTATATGTGTTAATTTTTTTGTATGCTTCATTTTTTTAGGGGAGATAGCATACTTTAAGCGGGAAGTATTTTATTTCCTAGAAATGCATGACTTTAGGGGGAATGTGATTTTTCTTAATTGTTTAAAACTTTTTTCTCTCCCCGGAATGCATGAGTTCTTTTGCTGCATTATTTTGATAATGCCAAAAGGGGGAAGAGTATAGGAGTATATGCTTTAATTTGTTATTTGTTGGTAGCATATCCTCCATGTGTTTGTCATTATCAAAAAGGGGGAAATTGTTGGAATGCATGAGTTCAACCCTTTCTGTGTTGTTTATTGTTGACTCACACGTTTTGATAATTGGCAAACACAATTTATTCAAGACAAGATCAAAGTGCTACAACGACAAACACGAAGACTTGAAGTGCCATTCCTTGAAGTATTCAAGAAGGTGCACATGATTTTATTGGAGTCCGAGACGCGTTCGAAGCGCCTAACGGAGGACTCGAAGGTGTAGAAGATTTCCGAAGACTTTTTATTTATTTGAGTCGTAGGAATAATTGTAAGGATGACAAAATTAATCTTCTCTACAAAATTATTTTTATGAGAGTTAAAATAAAAATTATATTTATTTTTGGAGTCAGTTGAAAAATCCTTTTTACTGTTCAAAATAAATTTATTGAGTCAGTTACAAAAAGTGTGTCAAACATTTATCAAATATTTATTTTGATTTTATAAAATATTTTTGGTAAGCAAAAATATTTTATTCAAATATTTTTCGTGTACATCGTTTGACACACAAAATAATTTTTGGACTCACTTTTACTCTCTTATTCAAATTTATTGAATAAGAGAGGAGGAGGGCTCTGATTCCCGTTGTCTCAAATAACGAGTGTTACGCCAATTTTGCTCTCAATCGCAACTGTCTTGGGCCCTTTGTGTTTTGCGCATTATTTCTTCTTTTAATCGATTATAATGTACTTCTTTGTTTAATCGATTAGGCTTCGACTATTGTTCAGCGCATTCAGTTAATCGATTTTCCTCTTTGCTTTAATCGATTAGTCTACTCAGAGCCTTCTAATCGATTAACCCCTTTGCGTTAATCGATTATTTCCGCGTAGAAGGAATTTTGCTCAGACTGCATTAATCGATTATTGGCTCTGCATTAATCGATTTTTATGCTGCATCTTTTCAGCACAGCTTCTTTTCTTGGACCAATAGATATATTTCTTCAACTCCTATTTAAACACATTTTCTTGGTCATTTTTGAGAACAAGAAACACTCCAATACTCCCCATTCTTGAGGTGTTAATCCTCCATCAATCTTTCCTCAAATTCAAATTATTTTGAGAGAAAATTATATTTGTTTTCAAGAGAGGTTTCTTGTCATCCATTAGAGCTAAACATTTTCTCATTTCTACTCTTTTGAGAGCTTTTGTTGAGAGGTTGAAGAAGAGTGTTGTTCTTGGTGTACAAGACTTATGTGACTTATGTTTTGGGTGTAAAGTCTTGTAGAGGGCATATCTACGAGCGGTTGTGTTGAGGCTTGTGGGATTCAAGTCCTCGAGTTGTAAACGGTTTGTTAAGCACCCGTAAGCTTAACGGAAGTAGTGGTAGCTTCGAGAGAGTCTCTCGGGGAACTGGACTAGCCACGAGGTGGTGAACCAGTATACATCGGTGTGTTCTTTGCCTTCTCTCTTTTATTTCCGCTGCACTTACGTTTATATTATTAATTCTGCGAAAATCGGTAATCATTCTCAACAACTCTATTCACCCCCCCTCGAGAGTTGCATGCCTTGTCTAACAATCTAAACTATGGATAAGTTCTCAAAATGGTTCTTTCAAATTAAGTGGGTGACTGCTAGAGGAACAGCCCCACACCGGGTAGACTCGTGGACTCCATTTTGAGAAAATATTTATTTAGAAATTGTCAATTTGGAAATATACTTAATTATAAAGCAGGTTTTTGAGAATATATTTTCAAACTCGATGATAAAAAATAACAAAATACCTTGCATTTGATTTTTATTTAATAGACATTTTCGACAGAAGATTATTTATTTATGGAATACATATGAATTACAAAGGACCACATTGGTAATTCTTGCTGCTTATTGAGGACTAATTTGGGAAAACAAGTTATTAGAAAAGACCGTTTTGAGAATTTACTCTATTGTTTTATGTACCCAATAATTGGGAGAAATATGTAAATGCGATTAAAACATGCTACATTTACCAAAACAGGACCTTAAATGACATTATATCAAAATAGGACATAGAATTGACAATGCCAAAAAAATGTTAAAACATAACACCAAAAATCATTGTAAAATGGCAACCAAACACCTTGGTTCTATTTTGGCCACAAAACAATAAAGAGCCCTAATTTGAAATACTACTAATACTTTGATTTTAATCAAGTAAATTTCTTTTCACAAACTGATGATCCTATCCATATTTTCAAATCTACATTTTGATCAAAATATTGCTAATTAAAAATGAAAACATAAAAAGCAATCCAATTAGCCCGGTTAAACAACATGCTATTTTGGATCACGGTACGAAGAAGAACATGATATTGGTTAAAAGTATGATTTTTGCCACACAACCCTTCGTAGGAGTATAGATTTATATTTATTTTTCTTTTTTGTGAATCTTTCTTTTTTCTGCATCTGATTCGCAGTGTTCTAAGGGAGTATTTGGAACGTACAGATGAAGTCGTTGACGACGAAGGTGTGGTTGTTAGCCCAGAGTGTGTAGTTGACGCCGGGATTCCAGCCTTTGTTGGCGCCGACGATGTGGTCGGTGGCGGAGACGGAGGCGATGAAGAGGAGGAGGACGGAGAGGAGCCCAGCGGTGGCGGACAGTGAGGTAAACATGATTGAGGATGCATCGTGTCAGCTGCGTCGCTGTCCGAAGAAATATATGGTCACAAGGAAATAGCACTCGTTTTCTCCACTAAAGGATAAAGGTATTTGCACCACAACTTTTGTACCCCATTTTATTAATTTTTGTTAACGCACCAACCCTTTGTGTCCGTGTAAATTTTTGTTAACACACCAATACTTGTATTGGTGTAAATCATCAAAATGTTTGTGTATAACTGCGGTGTACAAATGGGGTACAATTTTTTGTGTAAGTGTAGCATGGCCGTTTTCTAAAAGGATCATGCTACACTTACACCAAAAAATGTACCCCACTTGTACACCACAGTTTTGCACAAACATTTTGATGGTTTACACCGACACAAGTGTTGGTGCGTTAACAAAAATTTACACGGATACAAAGAATTGCACTTTGAAGCTAATCTTAGGGCACGCGGCCCCACCTGCAAGGCCCCCCAACTTCCCAAGCCTACTCCCTGGCCTAGAGAGAACAATAGTTTCTTCTAGGGGTGTTCAAAAATATCCGATCCAAAATATCCGTCCACGATCCGGCAGATCTGATCCGAAAAATGGATATCCGATCCGAAATTTTAGCTTTCGGATATTTCGGATCGGATACCCGAGAAAAATCGGATCGGATATGGATTCAATTTCTGGAATTTTTTGGATAATCGGATATTCGATTTTTTGTATTTGTTTAATGGAATTTTATGGATATATATAATGGCTATATGTTTAATGCACTTTTATGTTGATTTTGGAACTCAATAATTTTGGACTTTTTGTATTAGCATTTTGGAACTTTTTGTTTTAGCAGTGCTTTTGTTTTGGTTTGTTTAGGCAAAATTACCAGAGTTACTTCCAAATTGAATTTGGTATAATTTTTTTATTAGGCCATTACCTAGTGGTGGAATTTTGCTTTTAGTAAATCTATATTGAATTTGATATTATTGGTTGATTTTGCTATTTTACCCTTTTTTTTGTAAATTTTGGCTTAAAAGTCAACTTTTCGGATAATCCAGTGATCCGATTCGAAAATTTGGATATCCGAATTTCGGATATCCGAATATTTTCGGATCAGATATGGAATGAGTTTTACATGATCCGAAATTTTGGGATATCCGAATTTTCAGATCGATCCGATTGAACACATCTAGTTTCTTCTAGACATAGCAATGATTTAGAGTGATAAAAGAATAAAGCTATTTGTACCCTAAAAATTTGTATCTCATTTTGTACACTGCAGGGATGCACCAACATTTTAAGTTGGTGTAATGCTAATTTTTGTTAAAGCACTAACACTTTGTGTCAGTGTAAATTTTTGTTAACGCACTAACACTTTGTCTGTGCGAATCATCAAAATGTTGGTGCATACCTTTAGTGTACAAATGTGATACAAAATTTGGGGTACATGTAGCATGCTCTGTGATAAAAACATGTGTTTTATGGTGTGTGATAAAGGAATCTTGATGTTAAGCCACTTTTTCTATGACTTCCCAATCCAAGAGTCATAAAGTTTAGCCCTTTGGACTCTCTTATGATGTCACCTTCTTTTTATTTTTGTTTAGTCAAGGTCCTGGATCCTTGACTCATCCTTGCGGCTTGGTGGCAATAGGATATATGGAGGAGACTTTGGATAGATGGGTGGTGGTGGGAATCTCCTCGGCAGATTCCCATCATTGGCCTTACTTTCCAGATTGATTCTTACCTCTTTTTCAATGGGCTGGAATTCTTTTTTCTGCTCAACGATTACAATGTTTCTTACCCCCATGAAAGAGTCATTAGTATCACTTATCAGAAGTTCGTCTCAACTTGTTTGGCTATAACTATCCTTTGGGCAGACATAGTCACACCCATCAACTAGGGAGTCAATGGAAGTTTGGTCTTAATCTTTTGATAAAGCTTTATTTGCACAACTCCTATACACGGAGTTGGTTCTTCTGTGCAGAGTATTTCCTCATCTATAGTTCCCTCTTAAGACTCTTTGGTGTTTGAATCTTGGGGGTAGGTTATGGGCTCTATTTCCTCCAGAACAGGTTCCTTTGGAGGTGTGTCTTTAACACAGTTAAGGAGAGGGGAGTTTATTTCCACAGGCACAACTCCATCCTTTTCTTTGTGATATGGTGTAGGTGGATATGAGTCAGGTCTCTCAGTTGGTTCCACCTCATGTACGACTTCACTGGTCAAGACATCGATTGGAGACCATTCGGGCAACATAACCAAAGTAGCTCGAGTGAGTTTTGGAAGAGTTGTGATGCACTTGGGTTTCTCTGATGGTGTTGGACTAGGCGAATCTTTTAGAACTGAGATCTGATGATTGATTGGTTCAGAGTTGGTCTTAGGTAGGGGTGTACACCGGTCCAGAACTGGACCGGACCGGACTGGAACCGGAAAAACCGGAAACCCGGAATCTCCTAAAGCATAGGACCGGAAACCAGTCCGGTTAGATTCCGGTCCGGACCGGGTAAAAACCGGAAAACCCGGAATTACTTTTTTCTAATTCTTTTTGTCTATTTTTAAACTATTTTTTCAAATTTGTAGCTTGATTTGGATTGATTTCAACCATACATTTAATTTTTATATCCATTGGGTGTGTTTCAAGAAATTATATTAATATAAAATATAAAATATTTTTATCAACAATATAATAGGTGTAAAATGATTTTTACAATTCCGTTAGTTTTGAAATTTCAAAAATATTATAAAGTTGTACTTTAAATTATTTTGGTTTTAGCAAGTCTAATTTATATGTCAAAGTATTTAATTCCTTAGATCAAAAGATTCTACTTCAATTTTTGGAAAATAATTTTAGTTTTTTATAATTATGGATATTCTTGGGTAAATGTTTATGAAATGGATTATAAAATACAAATTACATTTAAAAAATTATACTTCATATTAAAGTAAGAAGAACCAATGAAAATATACAATTGTATTTATAATTATATGTAAACTCCGTATTATAAGTATTAAATTCTTTTTAAAAAATAGACAATCCGGTCTTACCTGTCCGACCCGGAAACGATCCGGTCTTGGACCGGAATTTTACCGGTCCAAAATGTTTAGACCGGAAACCGGTCCGGAATTTTACCGGTCTAGCCCAGAACCGGTTTTTCCGGTCCGGTCCGGTCCAGTTCGGTTTTCCGGTTCGACCCGGATTTTGTACACCCCTAGGCTTAGGTTCTAGATCCTCCTCTTGAGTAATAACTTCCCATAATTGAGGATCCTGAGGTCGGAGGGAATGATTATGCTCTATAGCCTTCCTAAGATCATCGAGTATCCTATCAGTTTAATCCTCAACTACTAGCCACTCCCTTTGGAAGTCTTCCAGCATCCTCTGCATCAGCTCTGATCTTTTGCAAAATTTCCTTTCAAACTTCTTTTCCTTTCGGGCTATTTCAATAAGATTTCTCCTTTCTTGAATCTCCACTCTATTTCCTTCAATTTGTTCATGAGTGGACAGAGTGTAGTCATAATAGTAGTATGGTTTGTACCATGAGCCTTTAGTGAATAATATATCGTCGAGATGAAAAATTATCTGCCCTAATCTGATGATCTCTTCGAGGAGTAGATCAGGTTCATTATTATACATAAGCCCAGTGCGGTTGTAATCATCTATATCTCCATGATGTTCATAATAATCACCTCTATTAGTGTCTTGGCATGGAGAGTATCCATGTTTCGAGACGGGATGTAATATGGTGGTTGCTCATGGTAAGTGATGGGTAATAACCATGGATACCGCCCGGTTGGTTCGCCCGTATGGGTGGTCATAAAAGTGACAGCGCGTACCCTTCCCTACCCGGGTTGTTTGCCCGGTTGGAGGGGTTGGCCGGAGCCAACCACTAGAGATCTATTCTTGAAGTGCGCCTAGGGGACCGGTCAGCCGACTGACCGGTTGGATAATCAGAGACGTGCTTGACGTGCTTAGGATTGTTATAAATACTCCTAAAAGCCTCATTTGTGAGGCATGCTTTAATTAATCCACATGGCCTGTACTGATTGTAATAGTTCCTACTCTCATTAATAACAAGCCAGGATACAGGTGTTTCCACCTACAACCCTTCCGATTACTTTACTTAGCATTTGCGTGGTAATTTACACCATCAAATTGGCGCCACCCGTGGGACCTATTACAAAAAGTCATGACAAGCAATCAGGAAACTGTCATCTCACAAATCTCTACTCCCGTTGAGAACGTCGCCTCGTTCCCGGGAGGGAGTGCCCAACCCTCAAACCAGATTCCTACCCCCATCATCACCATTCCAACACCTACTCCATTCACTTCCCCCGTCACCTCTGTCCCTGTTTTTTCTCCAAATTTTCCCGGGCCCATGGACCTGCTGTTTTCACAGGCATTCCAAAATTTTGGGCAGTTCATGTCCATGTTTCAACATCCGGGAGGATTTTCACCTTTCATTCCCGGGTTATACCCACAATCCTTGCCCCAAACTAATATCATCCGCCCGGTCGCTCCAACAAATCTGATCGGAGAGATGGACAAAGCTGGTCCATCCCGGTCTAGAAGGAGTCGGTCCCGAAGGTCACGCACACAAATCACGCCTGATGGCGATGTGCGCTCAGTCCATAACAGGGATGAGGATTGGGATGTACCCCAGGCACAAAAGAAGCTGAAGGGAAAAGCTATTCAACCTGAAGGATCCAGGAGGTCAGCGTTTTAAAGGCTTGGCCATGAAGGCAGAAATCAAAACCGGCCTGCCAAAGAACGACTAGGAGTGGAAACAACCCCGTTGAGTGCTTTTGATCGCCTGGGTAGAGGGGCCGAGCGACTTGGTTGGACCAGGCACACGGAACCTCCCCATCGCGAAGAGCCCCAACATAGCCGGGCGCCTCAAGAGGAAGAAGCAGAAAGCCATCCTAGGCACGCGATCCGCTCCCATGTTGAACAACCCCAGGATCGTGTGGGCCGGGTCGAAGCACATTTGGAGAAGCTGCAGCGCCGGGTCGACCGGGACGAAAAGAAGAAAATCTTGCTGAACGAATCTCCATTCACAAACCGAGTTCACGAGACCCCATTTCCAAAGAAAGCAAAGTTAGAGGTCCCGAAGTTTACCGGGAAGGAGGACCCGGAAATACATGTCAAAACCCTTCATCAAAGTGGAAGGATGATGGGCCTTTCCGGGGACGAAAAATGTTTACTTTTCTTTCAAACCCTCCGTGGCCGGGCCGCTAAGTGGTTTCACAACCTCCCGGCCGGGGAAATCGATTCTTTTGATGAACTGGCCGAGGTGTTCCAAGAAAAGTTCAAAGAGAACTGTACAAAGAGGAAAACGTTTACCTACTTGAGTACAGCCGGGCAGCGGGAACATGAGGATCTAACCAAGTTCCTCACCCGGTGGAAAGATGAAGTGGATAAAGTGGAGGAAATGGACGACAAAGCCGCCATGTCTCTCCTTGTGTCCGGACTCCGGTCTGGAGAATTGTACAAATAATTTTGCATGAGGCCTCCCCAATCCTACCAAGAGGCCTATAACACGCCCTGGGATTATGCCGACGCCGAAGCACAGGTGTCGTTCAAGAGGGAGGCCGAGCAGGGCCATCCCAAAGGAAGGATTTCTTTGAAAAAAGGAATTGAATTACCCGGTAAGGTAAAGACAGAAATCATGGAGGTGAAACCGGTCAAAACAGAAAGGAAACCGGCCGGCGAGAAGCAATGGACGGAGAAGTATTGCTCTTTCTACAAAACTGACTCCCATAACACTGTAGAGTGTAACAGTGTGAAGGGAGTGATCAAACAGATGATCGAGGCCGGGGAGATTGATCTAGAGTACCTTGCTCAGGCCAAGCAAAAGAAGAACCAATGGATCAGACCTGAAGGACAGCCGGCCGAGCAGAATAAAAAGAAGAAAGCAGCTGGTAAGGAGCACTTGCAGGTCATCTACGGAGGACCAGAAGGGGGAGACTCTGGTTCCCAAAGGAAGAAATGGGGGTGAGAGCTCTACGTTGGAACAGTAGCCCTAAATCCCCGGTCAAAACAAGCCAGGCGGGAACCAATCACTTTTACTGATCGAGACCTTCCCGCCACCGGCGAAGATCACAATGATCCCCTGGTCATAACCATGGACATGGGTGGAGTTGATGTTTCCCGGGTACTTGTTGACACAGGCAGTAGTGTCAACGTTTTGTACTTGGATGCATTCGAGAAACTCAAGTTGTGTCGAACACGGCTTGAGCTCTTAAAGACTCCCCTGTCCGGGTTTATTGGGGACTCTGTGGAAGCTGAGGGGTCAATCCTTTTAACTTGTGAATTGGGCACGGGGGACCAGGTCGTCCAAAAACAGATGAGGTTTGTGGTAGTGAACATCAAATGTGTTCACAATGCCATTTTGGGCCGGCCTGGAATAAACAAAGTCCGCGGGGTCATCTCCATGGCCCATCTCTGTATGAAGTTCTATACCCCGGGTGGTATAGGGCAGGTCAGGGGAGATCAGAAGAAGGCCCGGTCTTGTTACTTGGAGGCCGTAAAGAAAATGACCAAGGCATTTGAGAGGGTTACCTTGGTTTCCTAGGAAGAAGAGCGGTCAAAACTGGAGCCGGGTGATGAGAGCGAGCAGATTGTTCTCCGGGAGGCTTTCCCGGAAAGAATGGTGTGGATAGGCCGGGATCTGCCCGGAGGGCTTCGAGAAGAAATCATCTCAGTCCTTCGGGAGTACGCAGATATTTTCGCCTGGAGTGTGGTGGACATGCCAGGCATAGACCGTTCTGTCATATGCCACCGTCTGGTTGTGATGGAAGGTAGCCGGCCTGGGAAGCAGAAGAAAAGGCACTTGGCAAGCGCCCGAAGGGACTTTGTGAAGAAAGAAGTGAAGGATTTGCTGGCGGTCGGGCACATAAGAGAAGTACAATACCCGACCTGGTTGGCAAACGTCGTCTTAGCTCCAAAAGGCGACTCGTGGCGTATGTGCATGGACTACACTGATCTGAACAAGGCATGTGCCATGGACTCATACCCGCTGCCCAGTCCTGATTAGATGGTCGATGAGACGGCCGGGTGTGAGTTGTTGAGCTTCATGGATGCCTTCGAAGGCTATCATCAGATCTTTATGGCCGAGGAAGATGAGGAGAAGACTTCTTTCTTGACCCCTGAAGGCACCTATTGTTACCGGGTGATGGCTTTTGAACTAAAGAATTCAGGCGCTACTTACCAGAGGATGGTAAACCGGCTTTTTAAGCCACTCCTCGGTAAGTCCATGGACGCCTATGTAGACGACATGCTGATCAAGAGCCCGGACACGGAAAACCACCCGGTTGACATGAGGCTCTACTTCGAGATTATGGCCAAGTACAACTTGCGCCTCAACCCCAAGAAATGCGTCTTTGCTGTGAAGACCGGCAAGTTCCTGGGGTTTATGGTGACCAAGCGGGGTATTGAGCCAAATTCTGAAAAGATTAAGGCCATAACAGAGATGAGGTTGCCCAGTTCCCTGAAAGACGTGCAGCGACTCACCGGGCGGTTGGCAGCTTTGAGTCGCTTCCTATCCCGATCTGCTAAAAGAGCCTTGCCCTTCTTCAAAGTCCTGAAGAAGGCCAACACGTTTGAATGGAACCAGGAGTGTGAAGAAGCTTTCCAGCAACTTAAAGAGTACTTAGTTTCTGATATAGTTTTGTCTAAACCCAAACGAGGTGAAACTTTGTACTTGTATCTGGGCATATCCCAAAACGCTGTAAGCTCTGTTTTGATAAGAAATGAAGACGACCAGAGGCCTATTTACTACGTGAGCAAAGCACTTAATGGGGCAGAAAGCCGGTATACTGCCATTGAAAAACCAGCGTATGCACTTTTCATAACGGCCAAAAAACTGACCGCGTATTTCCAAGCTCACGCTGTGGAAGTACTGACCGATCAGCCACTTGAGCCGGTCCTCCGAAATTCAACCTCTTCAGGACGGATGGTCAAGTGGGCAATGATGCTCACTCAGTTCAAGATCGAGTATAGACCTAGAACCGCAATCAAGGGTCAAGCTCTGGCCGACTTCCTTGTTGAACTGACCGGTCTGGAGCCTGAGGCCGGACCTTCCCATACGGTCGAACCATGGTGGGACATGGCCGTTGATGGGGCCTCTGGACCGAAGGGATGCCGAGCCGGCATAGTCTTCACTACTCCAGAAGGGTTCAAAATCTACCATGCCTTGGTTTTCAACTTCAAGCTTACCAACAATGAGACGGAGTATGAGGCACTAGCTGGTGGCCTTAGACTAGCCCGGGCACTCGGAATAAAGAGAATGAGAATTTGTTCCGATTCAAGTCTTGTAGTTGGACAGATCAATGGCCACCTGGTCCGAGCACTTCTAAGGGAATTGGAAGAGTTTCGTCTGACTAGGATACCCCGGTCGGAGAACACACACGCTGATATGCTTTTGAAGTTAATGCAAGCCTGCCCGGAGCATGTGTCAAAATTGGCTAAAATTGAGATTTTAGACCAACCGAGTACTCATCGATTTGAGGTCGCAGCCGTTCAGCAAGGTTAGAGCTCAGCTACCAGGGTGATTGAAGCGGATGATGGCTGGAGATACGATCTCATGGAGTATTTAATGACCGGCCAGAAACCAAACGACGAAGAACGAGCCAGGAAGGTTGTCTTACAAGCTCCCCGGTTTCAAGTACTAGACGGTCACTTGTACAAACGTGCCATTGGAGGACCTCTTTTACGTTGTCTTACCAACCTTGAGGCTGAGCGGGTAATAGATGAGGTACACGAGGGAGTTTGTGCAGCCCATCAAATGTCCCGTACATTGGCTCAACGGATAATATTGCTCGGCTACTACTGGCCGACCATTGTTGGGGATTGTGAACGGTATGTTCAAAAATGTAGGACATGCCAAGTTTTTTACAAACATCCCGGAAAATCGGCCACATATTACCAACCAACATCCAATATCATACCATTTGCCCGATTTGGAATTGACATTATTGGAGCTTTCCCTGTCGCCCAAGGTGGGAAGAAGTTTGTGATGGTGCCATTGATTACTTCACAAAATGGATTGAGGCTGAGGCGATGGCCACCATAACCGTGCGACAATGTGAAAAATTTGTTTGGAAGAATATTGTTACCCGGTTTGGAGTCCCAAAAATAATTGTCACCGACAACGGCCCGCAGTTTCACAACCCTCGGTTCACTGCGTACTTGGCTAGTTTTGGAATCAAGCACAGCAAGGCGTCAGTAGCTTATCTACAGGGAAATGGCCAAGTTGAAAATGCTAACCGGACGATAGTGGACGGGCTAAAAAAGAGATTGGGTGAAGAGGGACACAAGTGGTTGGAAGCTTTGCCTCACACAGTCTGGGCGCATAGGGTGACTTCAAGAAGGGCAACTGGAGAGACTCCATTTGTGCTCACTTACGGATGTGAAGCCCGGTTGCCAGTTGAGGCGGAAATTCCAACATTTAGAGAGACCGTATACCAGCCCGGTCAGAACGAGGTCGACCACCTAGCTGAATTAAATCTGTTGGAAGAACAAAGGACCCTAGCAGCTGTCAAGATGGCCGATTACCAACAGTCGGTAAAGAGATATCACGACAACCGGGTGGGCCCACGGTACTTCTAAGTGCATGATGAGGTCTTGCGCAGACGGGATGCCAGTAAACCTAATGAGAGAGGCAAGTTGGTGCGAAACTGGGGAGGACCATATCGCATAAAGGCAATCATCCGGCCGCGCACTTACCAGCTGGAAACCATGGAGGGTGGACGAGTTGACCGGTATTGGAACTCTCACCACTTGCGTAAATTTTTTAGATGAAGTGTAATGAGTTCCCGGTTATCAATAAAAACTTATTCTTTTCAGAAATATTGTTCTTACATATCAACCGGTAATTGGTCGCACACCAATCTACCCGGTTAGATGTCCAACCGAATTGGGCATCTCAAAAAAAAATCCGGTCAAACCGATCATACTCCTCATCCGTACTAACACGGAAGTCAAACGATTTGGCTAAACTAAAGGGAGAGCATCCCGGCCAGTTAAGCCAAACGTATTGAAGAAAAACATAAGGCTTACCTTTCCACCAGGGCATTAAGCCATTGTGAAAACAGGTCAGCTTTACAAAGCGCCCGGGCAAAAGCTTATCCTTTCGAAAAGGACAAGTCAATATGCCATCGCGGGTTGCAAACCAACCGGGAATAGAATGATCAAACTTGTTCTCTACTCGGCCGACTATCCAACCTTTCGAAAAGACTTGGGTGAAATTGTATTTTAAACCTGGTAAATGCGGCCGGGCTGTTATTTACTAATCTAAACGGTTAAAAATCTCAAGTTAAAGAGAATATAGAAGAAAAACACTTGCATTAATATTTAAGCGTCTTACAAAAAGTGCCCGGAGGGAGATCATTACACACGGGAAGTAAAAAAAAGAGAAAAAAAAGAAGGCTGGGAAATCAGATGCCCGGGAAGGGCGCGATCGGCGCCTCATCATGCAGCTCGGGCAGAGAAAGAGCCTTGGGCTGAAAACCTTGGATCCGCTGCTCAAGGATGCCATATAGAGCCCGCCGTTCATCATACTAACCGCTTTCGAAACCAAAGGTTCCGATCTCGTCGATGATCCTGGCCGAGACTTCGTGCTTGTATAAACCTTGGAAGAAATGGATGGCAGTCTCCCGGTCAGGAAGCGCTTGGGCAGCAAACTCCTCAGGCGCTTGAACAGCCCAGGCGGCAGCAAGAGGAGCCCTTTCCGAGTGCTCTTTCTCCAGTTCATCTCCGAGCCGGGCAATTTCCTCAGCCGATCGGGCGTTCTCGGCCTCAAGCTGTTGGATCTTGGCCTGAGCTTGCTCATCGGCCTCTTTCGCGGCCTTGAGGAGATCGTCATGCTTCGCATACAGCTGGCGGTAGACCGCACAGTGGTCCATCAGCTTCTCCTCCGCCTTCGCCGCCTTCTCAAAAGCGGCCTTAGCCTCCTTTCGGCATTCGACCATCATGGCCTCCATCCGGGCCTTTTCCTCATCCCTTGACTTCACCAGCCGGGTGAAGTACTCCTCACCAATCCGACCAACTTGCTTTAAAGACATGAAAAGTTTTTCAGGAGGGTATCAGAAGCAATAAGAGGGCGGTAAGAAGGGAGAAAGGGGGATTACCTCAGTCAGGTCGGCGCGGAAGGCTTGGAGGAGCTCTTCGTCCGATCTGGACATTAGAGCCATAGACCGGGGCTGCCTTTTCCTTTTGCCAGCATCGGGGGACTGGGCCGCTTGATGAGCCGGCTGGTTGACTACCTCAGTCTTCCGCCTCTTCCTTTTAAGAGACTCTTCAGCAGCCTCCTCTTCGTCGTGGCCTCCCTCGGCCAGCTGGTTTGCTTGACCGGCCTCTGATGTATGACCAGCTTCCATCAGCTGGTCGAACTCCAGGGTATCTACATTAATGTAGAGTTCCCCGGAGTGGATGGGCTGGCTGGTCCCCTGTTGAGACTGGGCTGGCTGCTCGTCCAGAGAAACTGGCTGGACGGAAGGTTGGCTGAGAAGCTGAGCGGTGGAGGGCTCCTCAACGACGATTTTTGGGGTGGCGAATTTGGACTGTAACTTCACCACTGAAACAAAAAAAGGAAGACCGGTTATTTATAAAGATTTGAAAGATGACGAATATAAAGGAAAGTTGAAAAGGGCTGTTGATTGACCTTTCGCCTTCTTCTTCTTCCCCGGACGCGAGGGACCGGCAGCGGCAGTAACCGGGGCTTTGTACCCTCTAACCCGGCGGAGGGCGACGGCGTCAGGGATCGCTTCAGTCAGAATGATCTCCGGCTCGGGATCAGTCTCCCAGCCAGGATAGACGCTCCACTTCCCGATGTTGTAAAGACCGCGACAGGAAGCGTCCCCGACCCGGAGAGTGGCCTCCCAAGCGACCAGGTCGTCGGCCTCCGAGGGTTTGACCCGGCGCTTCATTCTCTTTCCCCAGACATTTTGGGCGAAAGGAAAAGCAGTCGGGGGGAATTTGATGGATACGTATTTGTCCTTCCACTTCTTGTTAAAAGGAGGAAGGCCACAGAGGAATGCCCGGCCTTGATGAGAAGACACTACCACGAATCCAAGGGTTTCTTTGGACCCGGGCCGGACATCAAACATGTGATTGAAGAGACGAAGAGACAGAGGGATGCGAAGAAAACGACAAACGTTGATGAAGCTACTCAACATACGGTGACCATTTGGGGCCAACTGCCCGGGCATGATCCCGTATGTCTCAAGGAAGAGGACCTTGAATGGGTGAATAGAGAATTCACCCAAGTCCTTTGAAAGAGTGGTAATGAATACCAATCGTCGTACCGACGTGGAGAGAAATAATGTTCTTCCACGTTTCCCGGTACGTCAATTGATACCCATCAGGCATCAGATTGCGCAGCTCGTGAACTTGGGGCTTCTGCATGTACGACGGTTGCTCTTGGAGCAACCTGTCGTCCAGCTGAATGAAGCCCTCATCCCCGGGCTGGGCAACCGAGACCGTTTGTGCCATGGAAGAAGAAGGGGCACAAGTGGAAGCATCAATCGGCTTCTTCGGCGGGGAAGTAGCCGGGCGCTCAGACGAAGAAGAAGGAAAAGATGAAGAGGAACCGGAAGTCTGAGACCGGTCACCAGAACCGTAAGAATGAGTGGAAGGGTTCTGGCCATCCTCGCGGTCAGACATGACTCAAAAAGGGGGAAGGAAAGAGGCTTACTTGGGAGCGACTAGAAGACTCAGAGGACTCGGAAATAGTAGAAGCAGCCGGGCAGATTTTTGGTTGAAGATTTGCAAGTGAGAAAATTCAAGGGAGAACCTCACTTTATATAGGAAATATGCCGCCCAGACGGACGAACGGTGGAGCGACACGTGGCGACGGTAATGATGTGTAATCATAACCTCTCAGGGAGACGAAACGACATAACAAATCGGCGGCTCCGTCCCGGATTTCGAAAAGATTCTCCCGCCTTTGTCAGCCGGGTTTTCAAAAATTGAAAATTCAAATATTTTGAGTTTGCGCTGGTTTGCTGAGACGATTTTCCCGCCAAAAATCGACTGTGCAGTTCGAATTTCAGAAGATGATCGCGAGTGCTTCCCGCCCCTGATGGTCCCCACAGGACCGGGAATCGGAGGACTCCTTAATGGGTAATAACTAGACCTATCAAAACAGAACCGGAACCGATTACCCGAACCGAAATATCCAAAACCGAAACCGGAATGACCCGAAAAATGAAGATCCGATCTATAACCGAAAACCCGAAATGATCCAAATCAAACTGAAACCGAACTAAATAATTCATATCCGATTAAAATCCGAAACCGATTAGATCCGAAACCGATAATATCCGAACTGATTAAACCTGAAACCGATTAGACTCGAACCCGATAATACCTGAAACCGATTAGATCTGAAACCGATAATATCCGAACTCGATTAGAACTAAAATCGATAAATTCAGAACTATATTTGCCTTTCAATAAGCATATTATATTTTTAAATTTTTAATTTTATTTTACCATTTGAACTAATTACATTACTTGCTCATTCCCTCATAAAATGGATTATCTTCTTGAAAAAACCTACAAAATTTTATGCCTTAAATTTATTATAATTAATTTGATTATTTACGGTTAATAATTTGATTAGTTTCAAACCAATTCACTCAATATTAGTCAATAAAATTAGATGCTAGTGTTAACATTTTTAAAAGACTCTCTAGCGGCAGCCTTTACTGTTATCATTTTCAAATTTGATCTACACCCTTACATTTAGGTGTAAAATTAATTATATTTGACACTATTAAATTTAATTTTCTCTATTTTCAACCAAATATACTCCAAAATTTATAAATTTTGCACTCAATTAAATAAAATTCACTTAATTTCACCCAATTTTACTCAATTTTTACCAAATTGTATTCAAATGGAACATAAGACTATTTGAATTTATCTTTTATCCTTTCATTTATATACATAAGTATATTAGTAGATGTGAGAAAAATTTTATATTTCAAAACTAAATTTTAAAATCAATTTAATTATATTAAATTTATATCATAATTAAATATATATGTTTTCATAATTTGTAGTCCAAATNTCAATAATTTACAAATTTTGCACTCAATTGAATAAAATTCACTTAATTTCACCCAATTTTACTCAATTTTTACCAAATTGTATTCAAATGGAACATAAGACTATTTGAATTTATCTTTTATCCTTTCATTTATATACATAAGTATATTAGTAGATGTGAGAAAAATTTTATATTTCAAAACTAAATTTTAAAATCAATTTAATTATATTAAATTTATATCATAATTAAATATATATGTTTTCATAATTTGTAGTCCAAATTTGTAAAATATGACTAAAAAGTCAAAAAGGGAAGATTATTTAGGGTAGAGATAAAATAACTAGAAAAAAATATAAAATGATATGAGGTATTGAATTGATGATAGATTGATAAATGTGATAAAACATAAAAAGAAAAACGGATAGTTAAATTTTAATTAGAAAATAATATATATCCAAAATATATTTGATCCGAAACCAAAATATATTCGAACCGAACTAGACTCGAAACCGAAATATATCTGACTCAAATTATATCCAAACCGAAATCTATCCGAACCGATTTATAACCGAACCGTATCTGAACCGACTCGAAACCGAACCGAACCAAAAAATGTATAGAACCGAAATCAAATCCAAACCGAAATTTAACCGATCTTATCCGATCTGAACCGATTATAACATATAACCAAAAGATATCCGAACCGAAAAAATCCAACCCGAAACCGATCCGGTTGATCCGATTGCCACCTCTAGTAATAACTCATGGATACCGCCCGGTTGGTTCGCCCGTATGGGTGGTCATAAAAGTGACAGCGCGTACCCTTCCCTACCCGGGTTGTTTTCCCGGTTGGAGGGGTTGGCCGGAGCCAACCACTGGAGATCTATTCTTGAAGTGCGCCTAGGGGACCGGTCAGCTGACTGACCGGTTGGATAATCAGGGACGTGCTTGACGTGCTTAGGATTATTATAAATACTCCTAAAAGCCTCATTTGTGAGGCATGCTTTAATTAATCCTCACGGCCTGTACTGATTGTAATAGTTCCTACTCTCATTAATAACAAGCCAGGTTACAGGTGTTTCCACCTACAACCCTTCCAATTATTTTACTTAGCATTTGCGTGGTAATTTACACCATCAGTAAGGATAGTTTTTAGACCCATTGTTGACTTGGTAGTCATCATCATATGGATCTCAATGTGGATAATATGGTGAGTGGGGTGGTTGGTAAGAAGGGCGGTTAGGTGATTGGTTGTAAGAGTGTAACTCCCCAACTCGCGTAACCCGAATTGGTAATCACAGCACAACAATTTAGACCGTTTATTCAAAAACACTCAAACACCAAATTAAATACGAAAAGTCCGACGTAAAGTCCATCGTGTGTGGAAGCATTAAAATAACATTCTGCAACAAGTTTAATTCAAAGAATTAATAATGCAATAATTAAATGTCCATAATTAAAAATAGTGACGTCATCCACTGCGTCACGTATCAACGTCCTCCGAGCTGACCCTCATGATCCATATCCCTACCTGCGTGCAGTCAAAGACAACAACACTACACGCTCAGCTGAAAGCTGAGTGAGGAAAAATATCTAACGCTAGAATTAATTTCACAGATAGTATCCCATTTATATAATCAACAACATCAATGAACAATCACCATTTATTTACATGTACAAGGATCCAACCGTTCCAATTCATTTATTTCCAAAGGCTATTTCTACCCCTACAACACTAAGGCTAAATTTAATAGACTAGAGTTACGGACACTCGAGCGGATCCCTCAAGGCCGATGCTCGGACAAACCCAAAGAGAATCCTCAATCGGCAGGTTGGAGTCCCTACCAAGGAATCTCTTAGGTAGAACAGTGACTCCCGTACGTACGTTTTGAACCCTGGACCACTGGATATGCAAACATGCTCCATAAGGCCCGAACCTAACAACAGTCCTATTGGTGGTTAAACAATCCAATTCAGTTCAGATCCGCCTAGGTATACTAGGTGGCCAATTTTCAACAGAGTTCTGAAGTGATAACAATCACTTAAACATTTCCATTAACAGAACAACACACTCAGCGGCCTATCGGAAGAATCACTTCTCACCGATTACCGTCATGCTCAAACAAGTTTAAACCCAACAATATTAAAAAAACATACTTGTGTCGCGAACTCGGAACTAACAACTTATCCTCAGGCCCACGGCACCCTCCGGAACAGTATCAATATTCACCGGATCAGCCCGATGACCCGCCGGACTAACCTGGCAAACCCGACCCGCTGCCCCGTTTTGGCAGCCCCTCACTACCGGCCCAAACAGCGCGGTCAACCGGCCTAGGCAGCCCCCCCAACCGGACCAAACAGCCGGCCCGGCAACCCCGTCAACCGGACCGACAGCCCAAACACACCTATTCGTCCAAAGGGTCGTGCAACAAACCCAATTGACCCAATTCTGGCCCAATTGGACCCAATTGTACAAGAACTAACCTAATTGGACCCAAATTGACCCAATTGAACCAATTGGGTCCAAATTGGACCCACCGGAATTGTCCCGTACGTCAGCCGCAAACCCCGTCGGCCAGCCGCCTGCGGGTTGTCGAAAAATTGTCCCCAATTAACCCCAAATCAGTCCCAACAATTCAACACACAAACAACCCAAATTTCACAATGAAATGTAGAATTAATACAAAAAAGATCCTAATCTACGAATTAATGCTAATGATAGGTATATGGGCAACGATTCACCCCTCGAAATTGGAAGAATTAAACTCGCGTTGAAGGCTAGGGACTCGCCGCTGCAACTCATCGGAAAAAGTGAGAGAGACTGTGAGAGGGCTGTGGTCGACGGCGATGCTCGGCTGCTGGTTAACGGCGGCGGACAAGTACAGACGCAGAGTAGAGGAGAAACAGTCGGGAGGGAAGAGATCGACGGGACGAGCGAGAGAGTGTGAGAGACTGAGAGTGTGGTAACTCCCCCTGTTATTAATATGAAATTAATTGGGTTTTAGGTCCAGTTTACACTTTGTAGTTAAGACAGATTTAAGCCCAATTATCTTATTTGGCAGTCGTATCTAGGGCCCAGTTAGTCCGATTCTCAATCCATTTGCACAGTGAACGTAGGTCAACTCTCATACTAAATACACTAACTAGAAAATAATCTTCATTTTGACCGACTGAGTAATTAATTAATTATATAAATTAATTAAAAATACTAAGCCGGGTTTCGAGGCGTTACATTCCCCCCTTAAAAGAATTTCATCCTCGAAATTACCGGAACCATTATCGCTGAAAAGATGGGGATACTGAACTCTCATAAACTCCTCACTCTCCCACGTAGCCCCCTCAACAGCATGGTTACGCCACAGGACTTTGACTAGAGGCACCGTCTTGTTCCTCAACTCCTTCATCTCCCATGCTAGAATCTGCACGGGTTCCTCCTTATAAGACAAACTATCATCAAGGGTGACTACCCCTTCTGGTAGTCGATGTGTGGGATCAGATCAGTAACGACGAAGCATGGAGACATGGAACACATTATGGATTCTACTCAACTCAGGGGGTAGTTCCAACTGATAAGCAACAGGACCCACCCTTGTCGTGACAGGATAGGTCCGATGAAGCGGGGTCTCAGTTTCCCCCTCTTTCCAAAATGAAGAACCTTCCTCCAAGGTGATACCTTGAGGAAAACCTTATCCCCCACCTTGAAGGAAATTTCCCGACGCTTCAAGTCTTCATACGACTTCTCTCGATCCGAGGCCACCTGCAACCGGTCTCGTATCAACTTGACCTTCTCTTCAGTTTCCCGTACTAGCTCGGGTCCTTCCAGTTGTACATCCGGCTTTGAATCGAGAAAGGAGTGGCAGAAATTGTAGATGGCTGAAACCCTAAGTTTGAAGAGATGTGATGGCCGACTGTGGATTGAGTGGCAGAAACCTGATAGTAGATGGCTGAAATCCTAAGTTTTAAGAGATGCGATCGTGATCGTGATCGCAGATGGTGAACTTGATCGCAGATGGGATGAAGTTTCTGTTTTGTCGTTGGCCAATACAGGAAGAAGAAGAAGTGTGTGTTCTTTTAGAACAAAACAAAAAAAAAAGAATTGGGCTATTGGGCTGTGTTTGTTGACTTTATTGGGAATGATGGTACATCACTTGAGAATGAACACTACGTTATTTGAAAATGAGTACTATTTTGTTTCAGAATGAACACTACGTTATTCATAATGAATATTATAATTCTTTTAAACAAACACGTGAAAATGAGTATTACGTTATTTCACAATGAGTTCTACGTTATTTTAGAATGAGTATCACGCTATTTCAAAATAAACAGTTATGTTTGAGCGAGAATGAGTACTACTTTATTTTAGAATGAGTACCACCTGGATGTATCTATCTTTAGGTACAGCTGATTGTACTAAATACCTTCTCGCCTTGAAAGGGTTCTTTTGTCTTTTTGCCGATATAAAACATATCCGCCTATTACTAGCACTAAATTGAGAATAGGCATGTCTTATGCAATCACTATATGAACTTCAAAACTCCACATTCGAATACTTGTGATACAGCACAAGGGAGAGTCACCTCCTAAAAGCTAGCTGTTAAGGTGGGAGAACCATTCGCTATATACACTCATCACCAAGTTCCCCATTTAACCGGTGTGGGACAACGAAATCAGTCCGTATCATTCGACCCCTCATAAGGCCCAACGTCCTCGTTGGTCACAGCTACGTTGGTCACGGCCACGTTGGTCACGGCTGGTTTCACTAGGCCACCAGTCCGTGGGCCACCACTCCGTAGGCCACCACTCCGATTTGGCTCTGGTACCATTGATACAGCACAAGGGAGAGCCACACCTTAAAAGCTACTCCCTCCGTCCCAAAATGAATTTCCTACTCTGGTTAACGTGCAAAATCCCATTAATTTTAAAATGATTTTATTTGCAAATTGGTAAGGAAATAACACATAAAAAAATTATATTTAAAAACTACATCAAAAACTCTACAAAATAAGAGGTGACAAGAATATTTTATTTTATCCAATGATCAATGAAAACACGCAAAGAAATAAGAGTTATCGAGAGGCCGTAATAGTAAACAGGAAAGATTTTTTGGGAAGGAGGGAGTAGCTGTTAAGGTGGGAGAACCCTTACCTTTGGCTATATAAACCCATCACCAAGTTCCCCATTTAACCGGTGTGGGACAACGAAATCAATCCGTATCAACTTGGCTCTTCTCCACGCCTTGATAGTACATGTATCCAAATCAACATAAATGGTGCTCCCTTTGTTTTGAATTGTAACTAGGGGACGGGGGCGGCTCCCATGACATGGGATGACCCGAGGGCCGTACAATGCTCCGTTCGTAAAATTGACGGTTCCAACGCCTCCTAACCCCTCCCCCGGTAAACTCACTCCAAACCCACTGCCCCTCACCCCCCTTCGATTGCATCGCCCAGTTCCCTAGTTTAATCGCGTCAAAATTTTGACTCCAAAGTCAATTAAACTCCGGGGTTAGGAAGGATAAAGACTATCAATTTTACGAACGAAGCATCGTACGACCACCCGTTCATCCCATGACATTGCTTGGCAATGTCAAGAGAACGAGGGTGTTACAAAATTTTTCATTGATCTCTTTATTGCAAACTTCTCTCCAGTATTTGAATACACCTGCTAACAACTCTTCCCCTTTAAAAATCATATAACCCTGAAATAATTTCGGTGTTTGATTTCTCAAATTTTAAAAAGTTGCTGAACAGTAAAAAATAAAGGATTGAAATATAATTATAGAAGAGAAACATTGTTAGCCACATTTCATTCCTAATCCTAAATAGGAAAAAAATGTGGAGTTTATTTTGAAACCATGAAAGTGTGAAGTTTATTTTGAAACGGGATAGAGTATTAGTGAAGGGTTATGCCATTTTTACCTCTTCAAATCAAGGGCTCTACCATTTTTAGATCAATGGTACACCAACTTATACCTGACATGATTCACATACACAAACATGTATTCTCACAAATATCCATCCATTCTGTGAGCAAACAAAGAAGAGTATTACGTAAACAAGACAAATGACTATAACAATAAAAAATAGTGTGATGGTGTGCCAGTTTATGTAGAACTTGTTGTGCAGAAAACATTGTCATCCTAACAATGCTAAATTCTGACCCCAATATACACATGATTGCATATCACAGAGTATCAAAAGCCCATTGACCAGAAAATATGTCTGTCATACCTTTGGTCATTTGTTTTGGAGAGAATCTCATTGTTTTAATGTTATGTTCCATTGGTGCAACACAATGGACCTGATATTCATATGCCATTTCAGCACCAGAATGAGTAAAAGCTGAAGTAGTCATTGGCACTAGGGGGCATGAATGGCCTCTCATGAAAGTGATCCAAATTTTGGCACATCTGCAGGCATACACGAACACCATGTAAAGTCACAACGAGATTTTTTCACGATCTTGTAGCCTCCTTTTAGAAGAGCATTGAATCCAACAAGTAAGCTCTCACCCTTGCCAGTTTAGTCTGATAGTGGCAGCTGTGGCATTGTATTCATTGATTCTAAGCATGCCATCAAATTCATAAGCTGTGAACCAGAGTACAGTTTTTAGTTAATATAAGAATGCCAAATGAGAAAAATAATCGGTACATTGTACTCCATATCAATTCATAACCTCTTCCTCCAAATCACTAATCTTCTGGTCTTTCAGCTTCCGGAGCTTGTGTTCCCTGTAATAATAATATAAGTAGAAATAATAATACCAATAATATTAATAGTAATATGAATAATAAAAATAATAATACTAATAATAAAATAAATGAATAATAAAAATAAACATTATAAATAAAAAATAAATATAAAATTAATGCTTTCCTTCCCTCTTCCAACCAAACAAGGTGAAGGGGACCCCTCCCATCCCTTCCCATTCCCTCCCTTCCTTTCCCTCCCCTCCCTCCCAACCAAACAGGCCCTAATGGGAATGAAAAAGGAAATCACACACACATACACCCTTCCCCAAAAAAAATGTCATCAAACATACATGCTATCCATAAACGATGAGTCGATGAGAAACTAACAGAAGGGTAGTTGAGAGAATGTTCGGAAGTATCAACTATCAAGTAGCCATTGGATGCAAGTTGCGAAACAACACTTCTATAACTACCTTTCCTCCATTTCAACTAATTTGGTTTCCCATATTGTCTGGTTTCTGAAAAGATTTTCATAGATCTGTCAATGAATGAAAACCCAATTAGTACTCCCCACCATGAAATGAGGATAGCTGCTAATTACGAAAAAAAATGTATGGCTTATGAAGCAAATACACCTATTTAGAAACTCACATCGTCCTGAAATTTCTTCTCTTTGGTGCATTTGTCCAACCGTGTCTGCATCTTAATCAGCCTAGGATTCTGTTTTAGAGCTTTCTCAACAGCTTCTAAAGTGTCCCTTTCACTTTCTTCTTCAACCTCTTGTAGTAAAGACTCAAAGTACTAAGGTAAAAGCAGGCTGTTACTACAGCAATTGAAAGTGATACTTGTCCTTATCCAAAGCATTCATTGAAGTTAATCAGAGCTAACTAAAGGTGTGAACTCCATCCGTCCTGATTTAGTTGTCTACTTTTCTTTTTTGGGGCGACAAGAATTTACTGTCCACTTTCCAGCTTAAGTAAATAAATAATAGGAAATTATCTAAAATATCCCCCAAATATCATACTCCCTCCGTTCTCAAAAACTCTTCCTCTTCCATTTTTCTTACTTCCAACAAAACACTTCTACTTTCTATTAAAAAACCATTTTTACCCTTACTTTTTCATACCCTACCTATCACATCATACTTTTTCTCTAATACTCAATCCATCACATCTTACTTTTATCCATCACATCAAGGGCAAAATTGGAAGTCAACTATAATTTAACACTTTCTTATTTTTACACAAAGTCAAAATAGGAACACTTTTATAGAACGGAGGGAGTATTAGCATTGTTTTCATCAATAAATGATAAGCAAATTCATAGAGTTTTTTTGTTATTTCAACATCATTCTTTACATTTGTGTTATTTTAGAAAGCTGACAATTAAAACCGGACAGAGAGAGTAAAAAATAAGCTCAATTTGGTGCTAAATTAAAGATACCACTTTCTGGTTCTCAAGTTGTGTTGTCAGGAGCTCATTATACTCATTGACGATCTGCAAAAAGAATTTTAGAGATTAGAGAAAACCAATATTCTGAACAAGCTATAAGAGCAAAATAGAAGATACTAAGAATAGAAATGAAAAGAAAATCAAAGGGAACATGAGGACAGCTAAACATACAGCTTCAACTTTGCTATTTTGAAGAGCTTCACTAAATGCAGGATCAACGCCACATTCACAATTATAACAACCTTCACTCCTGTGTACACAATGGTGGTTCAACTCAACCAATTCCCCATCAGTCTTAGATAGAATTAATCGGTGAACATAGTTGTCTCCAGCATAGTCCCAGACACGTCTTGTTTCCAATTCAAGTGCATAGCAATGGTGTGTTTCTTTCCAGTGCCTTTTAGCATGTTCATCTTTATATCTGCAGGAAAAACATCTTTTACTAAAACCTCTTTCTTGACTGGCAGAAGAGAAATCACTCACTTTTTGGTTTTTTTACTTACCTTCCACAACCAACAAAACCACATATAACACACATCCAGAGATTATCGGATGTTTGACAAATAATACATATTGATTTCTCCGGCTGCTGCTGGCAATATCGACACACCTGAAACATTTTTTTAGGAAAGTGTTGGTGTATAAATTCCATGATAGGGATAGAGAGCTTAGAGAGAGAAAGCTATGTATTCGAATGAGACAGTAGAATCAGCATGCCTTGGATACTGGGGAGGGTATAAGTTAGGTTCCATGCTGGTTGATTAAGTTATGAGTAAGTTATTACTAGTAGAAGTTAGGATCTTTTTTGTACAAATAGATCACTCGTCATGTGTATTGATTATCAAAGATGACACCATAATTTATCATTGGAGATTCTCCTTGGCTTTATTAGTTATATGGCTTTAAGAATCTTAATCATATTTTGATTTTGATTTTCCTTCATCTTTATTATTTATGATGAAGTTATATCCTCATTTCATAATTTGATAAAGACTTTTCTTCATTTATTCTCTCTGACACTCTTGAGTTCTATCATTTGGCATCAAAGACGTACAATTTGTATGGGTTCTTTGCGAACAAACCCTGATCATCCCATCTCTCGATACAATTTCACATCCAACTGTTACACCCCTTACGAAGTACACCAATTACTTTACATTCTAACTCACCTTGATGTCATTGATTCCAAATGGGCAGCAGCAGAAGTTTAAGATACGGCTGTTAATTATGTCACACCCTACAAAAGAATCGCATCTAGACACTCCATCTATGGGTAGGAGAGACAATTCAAAAATAGAAGAGTAGGGTTGCATTTGTTCGTAAGCCCAAACACATTACCTTTGCAGCCAACCGCTTCTATTACTCTAGTCCAACAAGTAATTTCCTACGTGATGACAAGGGAACTTAAATCGCAACTCTAAGTTGGCACACGATAGTGAACACAAGTACACAATGGTGTTGTCCTCACATTGCCCCTCCACAAATATCACTATAGAATCTCTCTTGGACGGCAATCGACAACGGAAATTCGAGTCAAGGCTGTTCTTCTGATACAAAGAGCCTTCATACAGGATATCTTCTCCCTTGGAGAAAAAAGTGTCAACAAATAGCCCGATACATTCTTCTCCTCACTTAAGAATCACATGAGAGCTAACAACCGATCCACAATACTTTATGGCAGAAAGGACATAACTACATTTGACACAATGAGTTCGACATTCTCTTATACTACCTTGTGTGCTACCAAAGCAGCAGCTGCTATTCAACAATACAAGCCCCATTATAAATACAGTTTGCTAAAAGCTGGTTCTTATATTGTTTGCCTGCTACCCTTACCAAAACTGCCGGATACACTGCAAGGCATCAAAGTGATAAATGCATGCATGCATCCATCCATCCATCCATGCATCCATACATCCATACATACATACATACATCCATCCATACATCCATACATACACACATACATACATCCATCCATCCATCCATCCATACATTACATACATACATTACATACATACATACATACATACATACATCCATACATCCATACATCCATACATACATCCATCCATCCATCCATCCATCCATCACATCCATCACATCCATCACATACATACATACATACATCCATCCATCCATCCATCCATTACATCCATTACATCCATTACATCCATCCATCCCATACACCCCATACACCCCATACACCCCATACACACATACACACATACACACATACACACATACACACATACACACATACACACAGATACATACATACATACATACATACATATGTACCATAGTTTGTAAGGTGTCGCCTAGGCATCGCCTAAGCGATAATGCGCTATCACTGGAACGCCTTGTCTGCTTGCCTTGCCTAGAAAACCTTAAGGCGATCAGGCGCTCGCCTAGGCGTCGCCTTTCCTTGCCTTACCTCGCCTTAATGCCTTGGGCCCCTTTAAAATTTTGAAAAAACCCATTTTCTTTAAGTGTAGCCCGATAGACTTAAACTTATCTTCTCTCTCTCTCTCTCTCTCAGTTTTCTCTGTCTCGATCAAGCTTCCTTAAAATGTATAAGACATATATATATATATATATATATATATATAGGTATGTATATATATATATAGGTATATATGTCGCCTAGTCGTCGCCTAGGCGATATGAAGGTACATTGGCGCCTCGCCTCGCCTTGCCGCCTTACGAACTATGATATGTACGTACGTACATACATACATAGTCAACATCACTGGCGTTAGCCGGCCATCCATGATGAAGAAATCTCACTCTCAACCAGCAAGGCATACTAGAGTCCAAGTATGGATATCTAAAGGGCATGAGCCCAAAAAAGAGAGCTCGCAAACAGGCTCTCATCCGCTCAGTAGTTATGAGAATGCCTTGCAAAGATGGGCTTATATGCCTGGAGGAGAGGGCTTGTGTGTTGTGTGCCTCGCGAAGGAGGTTTAAGGGTGCCTTGAGCACCTTGAGCAGGAGATCGTAAGGTGCCTCATAGGGGAAGGCTTAACATGCCTAATGGCACCATAGGGGATGACTTGATTGCCTCGCCAAGGACTTTAAAGTGCCTACAATATACTTCTAAGAATAACATAATGTCCTTCTTACATAAAATTGCATTGTAGAATTAAAGATAAATAAGGATTTGATGATTGCATTTTAGCTTAAACATTGGCTGCTACTCTGGAAAGAAATCCCCATTACAAAAGGCAGCCAAGATTCTTTTATCTGAGGTTTGTAACAAAACTATTTTAAAAAAAGATTAAAACAATGTCAATGCGGATTTGCTAAAACTGGACCACATATCCAAATTATATCACTAACAGCAATAATATTACTCACCGGGCAAGAAGAATCTGTCCATTTGGAGATACAAGAACAATGAAAAGAATGATTGCAAATTGTTGTTAAAATCCCACTTGTGTCCATGTCCAGTCGCTCTGCAGATATAATAGAAAAAGATTGATATAATAAATGGTGCTAAAATGAAGTGTGTGATAATGATTTGAAAAGTTGAGAGGCAGCCTTTTCGAAGAAACTAGTATTCCTAATGTGAAAGCCACTGAAGAAAGGTGGAATTTAATTATTTGATTCATGATTTTTTAGGTAGAAGGGGGTAATGGAAGGAAACACCGTAAGAATAGCTTTCCCTGACAATTTTTCTCAGGCAAGCCACAGTGGTTCAAAACTTTGACATTTTGGTCACCAAAGGAAGAGCCATGTACTACACCAAGCCACGCAACAGTTTCAAACATTGCAAATTTGCAATCGGCATCATTGGCTTCACACAAAAACTGCACCATCAGATTCATTAATACCTAGACAGACTGGACATGAAGGCTGCTCTATAGTGCTTGGAGGAGATATCTGCAAATGGTCAATTGATCCAGTGTAATGTACATCACCTGTGAAAAGCACACAGCAGGCTTCTTCCTGTACTTGGAGACAAAATAAACATGAAAGAAGACCTTTTTACTTTTAAACAATGGTGATTGAATATCAAAATACCAACAGGGGTAAAGTATACCTCAAGAGACGAGAAATGTCTACCACTAAAATGTTTGTAGAAAGAGTCAGCAGAATTTTGATCATCAAACCTTATCAATATACTATATCTGTCTTCTATTCCTTCATTCCTAGGCTCACATAAATACAATATACACAATACAAGAAATATCAGAGACGATTAATAGAACAATGTTGGCCAGTACAGTTCTCCAAAAATATACCTGACGATTCGCATTTCTAGCATATGTTGCACAAATGAACCACAAAACTGACAGAAGTCTGAATAAGTCATGTGATTGGGTACCCCCAGCACACAGAGAAGAGGTTTTCTTTCAGCCTAAAGACATCAAAGTAAAAATGGAAGAGGATTCATGACATCGTGTTCTGTAATTTCTCCAAAAAAATCCATCTTTCAAAATATCAAAACAAACAACTAACAAGAAGACATGACCGATCACAATGACCTATTTAATGAGATTTCTTACCCCCACCCGCCTCGCCCAAAAAAGGGCATCTTCTGGCATGTGGCATATACGGAGTATTCAGTTTGGTTGATAATTTCAAAAAATAGCTTCATAAACGACCAAATATCTAACTAAATTGAAGCAGAAACACGAGTGAAATGGAGATCAGACGAAACAAATACAGGGGAATATTTGAAGCGGATTATTACAGGCAACTCAGAAGGAGATGAGACGGCATCATTACGGAAGAAATGCATCACGCCCCTGTTTTCTTCGATACGAGGATTCCCGGAAGAAAAATGAAACGCCTGAGTGATGCTAGAGGTAGATGTAGAAGAATCGCCGGATGCCATGCTGTTCACTGACCGAAACCGATCCTCCGAAGAAACACCTGTGATTGTGACGGAACTGCTCGATGTTGATTGCGACATGATCTTCGCAAAGTAGTTGAAAGATTTCACCACAAAGAACCTGGAGTTCGAATCGGGTTAGAGCGTCACTTGTCGGATATATTAGGATCAATGGTTCCGGGCAGAATGGGACATGGGCATAGACATGTAGGGCCTGTTTGAGAATAGCTTTAGCTATTAGCGTTAGCGTTTTGGATAAAATTTTAACGGTGAAGATTAATTTGAAAACGCTAACGCTGCCCGTAGATAGCTTTTTGAAAACGCTAACACTAATTTCTAACGCTATTCCCAAACAGGCCAGTAGTCCGTACCAAATGCAAATTCTACTTCCGTCCCATTGTCTTTGTCCACATTTGACTTTTGGAACTGTTCATCTAAACACTTTGACTCGTCAAATTCTCTTAATGTGTAAAGCCTAAAAATAGTTATGTGTGATCTTGTTTGATTCGTCTTAACATATAGATTATTAATATATAATTTGTATAATTTTTTAATATACAAATTACAAGATAAAATGGATTAAAAAAGTGCATTGGATAGTGTGCCAAAAGATAAGTGGACAAACACAGTGGAACGGAGGGAGTAACTGGGAGAAGACAAAAGTACTCCATAATAGTAAAATATATGACATATTCTCAAAATAAGAGTTGAAACATAAACTCTTCTAGGAGTAATTAATTTAATTAATCTAATGGCTTAGAGTTAAGAAGCGAAGTAGAAGTAAAATATTGACCATGTACCAAAATAGAAGTTATTTCATATTACAAATATGAAATACAATACATTTTATAAATTTTAAAAAAAATCTAAATTTGTTACAGCCCCCACCGCACATGTCACTGTCGCCACCCTGCCACCATCGTCGCTACTGTCTTCGCCGCTACAGTCGTTGCTGCCACTCCATCACCACAATCTCTTGCTGCCATCGCCCTCATTTGTTGTTGTCAATGTTGCAATTCACTGCCAGCATTGGGATCAGGACTGCCATTGTCGCCACCATAGTGCCATGGTGTCACTACCAAGAAAAAAAGATTTCAATACAATGTCAACCAAAGCCACAATGTCAAAGACGATAATGCATAGAGACAAACATGTCATTGTATAATGTCAAACATGTTATTGCGTAATATCAAACATGCCAATATAAAATATCATGATTGTCAACACAAAATGTCAAGTTTCTTATCACTATCACCAATTTTTGCTGAAATTGAGAGCAAAATTTGAACACAGCTAACAGAAAAACAATCAAACAAAAAAATTAAAATAAAAACAATCAAAGACAAAAATGAAAAGAAAAAACCAAACCAAAATCAATGCCTAACGAAGATGCAATTTTTCAGAGAGAAAAAAAGGATGAATGCAATTAGTTGGAAGTATTTCTTACTTCTACAAAACAGTCTCAATTATAGAGCATTTGGAAGCTAATTAAAAATCAAAATCATAGTCATCACGACTGGCGGCATTTTCAGCTCTTATGGATATAGGCGGTGCGATAGATGTGCAAGGGGGGAGAGAGAGAGGCGGCACTCCACGGCGGATGATGCTTCGTGACAGATCTGCAAAGGGGAAAGCTAGTGCGGTAGCACTGCAAGGAGTGGGGCGGCGTTGATGAACTACACTTTGGGTGGATTTGACGGAGGCAACATTTCAAAATAGTGAGGGTGGTGTCCAAAAATGAGAGAGAGGGAAGAGAGAAAGGCATGGTGGGGTGGCCGTGAGGAAAGTGAGCAGAGAGATGAGACTAATTAGAGATTTAATATTATTTATGAGGATTTTTATTACTTAATTAATGTTGTATTTAGGTGCCCTAGCGGCAATCAAATACCTATGTAACTGTACACTTTATCATGAATGAAAGGCCTTGAAATATGTTTTATATCTCGTGTAACATAACATAGCTTCAGTCCATAGACGATAGCGCTTCAGTAACATAGATGAGGACTACGATGTTCTGATTATGAGACTGTTACTTCTTGACGAAGCCTGTGTCTAAAATATCCCTAGTCGCACTTTATGATAATACGGACGTCATAACGTATCAAGACTAGTACGTACGAGATGAGATAGTTGCGTCTCATAGACTATAGGTATTGTGATATCTTAATCTGTACGTAGGTGCATATTATATTGATAATATGTGACTGGATTGACCCATCTTGAGAATACTGCATGGATCTACAGTAATGTGTTTATCAGTATTCTCAAATCGACCTTG